CCCATGAACTTTTGACCCAATTTACGAGAAGGAATCCTAAGCTTAAGATTCTTTGTTGACAGCCAAACCTTGTCACCAACATGATAAACTGTGGCCTCCTTTCTGTGCCTATCAGCAGCTCTTTTGTAACATTCCTGAGCCTCCGAAAGAGTCTCCTTCAACAGTTCTTGGGAATCTCGTAAGGCGGTTAGCCGGTCAGTGACTGCAGGAATGGAAGTAGTAATTGGGAGACTCACTAGAAAGGTTGGATGGTAACCATAATTGGCAAAAAATGGGCTCAGAGAAGTGGAGCAGTGTTGGGCATTGTTATAGGCAAACTCCGCCGTGGGTAGAAAATCCAGCCAGTCATCCTGCAGGTAACTAATATAGCACCGCAAATATTGTTCTAAAGTCTGGTTGGTTCGCTCAGTCTGTCCATTACTTTGTGGATGAAAAGCTGAAGACAGATTTACATTAATAACTAGAATATAACAAAAATATTTCCAAAAATGAGATGTAAACTGCACTCCCCTGTCAGAAATTACTTCATCAGTCACTCCATGCAAGCAAAATATTTCCCGAATAACTAGGTCAGCAGTCTGTTTAGCTGAAGGGAGACCACGAGCTGGTATGAAATGACTCATCATAGTTAACCGGTCCACAACAACAAGAATGGTAGTGTGTTCCTTAGAGGGAGGTAGTTCCACAATAAAGTCCATGGATATAGATCCCCAGGGACGATGAGGAATCGGAAGAGGCTGAAGCAAGCCAACAGGGGATGAGCGAGGAGTCTTATGTCTGGCACATACATCACAAGAGGACACATACTTCTTAACATCCTCATAATATTTAGGCCACCAAAAGGATCGGGTAAGTAGTTCTTGTGTCTTTCGGATTCCTGGATGACCTGCTGGTTTAGAGTCATGGTAGAGGTGTAAAACGTCCAGTAGCACTGATTCTGGAACAAACAGACGTTGTTGAAAAATCCCTTTAAGCATGGTCATATGAAGATCACGAGGAGGATCACGAAAAACTGGATCTTTAGAGTAGCCCTTTTTAATGCGAGACATTATATCAGAAGGAAAGGTAACTCCTAAAAATCTACTCTCCGGCAAGATGGTGGCCTTGGTTACTGTAGTATGGAGGGGGTCAGCTATCATAGACAAGGCATCCGCCTTGCCATTTCTGGAACCAGGGCGGTATGAAATAAAAAATTAAACCATGAGAAAAATAGGGACCAGCGTGCTTGTCTGGCTGACAGTCTCTTAGCGGATTGAATACATTCCAGATTTTTGTGATCTGTGAGGACAGTAATTGGATGGGTGGCTCCCTCCAAGAGATGTCTCCATTTGGTGAAGGCAGCTTTTATAGCCAAAAGTTCTTTATTCCCTATGTCATAATTTCTTTCTGCTGGTAACATCTGGCGGGAATAGAAGGCACATGGATGTAACAACATCTTAGGTCCAGTCCTTTGAGACAGTATAGCCCCAACAGCTAAATCAGAAGCATCTACCTCTACAGTAAATGGCAATTCTGGCTGAGGATGTACCAAGATAGGGGCAGAAGTAAACAGAGTCTTTAATCTGGAAAATGCAGTGTCAGCCTTATTGGACCACTGAAAAGGAGTCTCTTTACGTTCAGTGATCGGTGTAATAACGGCAGAGAAATTCTTAATGAAACAC